CATTAAACTTTGGAAAGAGAAAACTACTAGTTATAATTTACCCATATGTGCTAAACGACCAAGTTAAAAATGGTGGAAATTGGACATTGGCGAAAACGAGTGAAATTTTACCTCAGTGCGGACACACAGTGTTGATTAGAATATTGTTATAATGTAGTTTATCTTTGGGTAGGTTCTTTTGAATTATTCGAGATGTGATTGGTTTTATGGCCGAAAATATCGTAAATGATGAAACAATACATTGTAATCACTACAAATCACAGAGTTTGAATATTATAGTTAATTAGCTATGCTCATTACTAGGTGTATATATTTAGTTCTGATCTACATGGGTAGCTTGCTTTGATCTGAAGTTAATATTAACAAACACATCTTATGAGTTAATCATCATTTTGCAATTTCTGTGATGTATTTTCTGATTCAGCACTGTTTTCAGTTTATTCCTAATAACACCGATTCTTAAAGTTCTGGGGACGAGGTTGCCAGTGCTGATGACTACTTGAAACATCAGGCATTTAGTTAAAGTCATAAAGTTTTCCTTAAAATTGGTTTCAGTTTTTACTGATGCAGTGTTCATAATAAGAATCTATTATGTACATATATCTTTAAATAAAATGTTAATGAATTAATTACTACGTCTAAGTTACCTGTTTTACATCGTTAACTCAAATATTGAATCTATGTTTTATTATACAACCATTAATATTTTGAATATCCTAATAACATAAATAAAAAATCCATAAATTTAGTAATGATCTAATCGAACATGCTTAAGAAGATTTAAGTTTGTTTGTTTGTTAATAATATTGATAAATTCTCATATTTGTATTGATTCTTTGCTTTTCAAACATTACTATTTAATTGCTTGAAACAAAAATTCTCATTGTACCTGGTAGTATAAATTCTGTATAACTCTGGTGACGTGATAAAGCTGATTTTTGTTTTGTAGTGAAAATAAACCTCCAACTGTGAAAGATGACAATTTTGTTTAAGATATCTCGGAAGGAAGTTCGTAATTTCCGGTATGCTTGAAGACGTCACTTTCCGACTTCTCGCAGCGATTGGATTTGATGCGAGGGAAAACCAACGACAGTAGGATATTTTTACGTCGACAACGGCAAAGTTTTATATTCAAAAAGTTTTGCTTGTTTGTTTGTTGAATTTCGTGCCAAACTACTCGAGGGCTAATAGCGTTAACAGTCCCTAATTTGGAAGTGATTTAGAAGAAATAAGTCAGCTACTCAACAACACCCACCGCCAAATCTTGGGCTATTCTTTATCAACGAAAAGTGGGATTCACCGTCACATAATAACGCTCTAACGGCTGAAAGAGCGAACATGTTCGGTGGCGAGATTAGAACCTGCTACCCTAACCACCAGGCCATGCCAGTCCCTTAAAAGAAAAAAATAATAAAGTGTTTAAAAATCTAATACGTTACTCAGAAGTCACCCTATCATATGAAATCCTTGATCGTCTTAATTTCAAGATGTCTGTTAAACTTCAGGCGTATCAATTTATTTTTGGTACATTAAAGTTTTCCTGTTCTTGAGCTCGGGTTTAAAGCATTTTGCTCTGTTCTTCATGTAATATAATACAGATCGTGGTTATGTGGGATGTTCATGTTACTTGTTTTTTGTATATAATATTAGTTGAGTTGCTTGTTTCTTTTATAAAATTATTTGTCGCAAGCGTGTGTGCATTCGGAAATGAAACCTATGACGAATACATACACATTACTAAAGGTTAGTCAATGATTGAAATCTCGAACAGAAGCTCTAAGGGTGAACTCTGAAACCTTGGTGTTTAAATTTTCATCCCTAAAAAAACAAACACAGGAACTTACATACACGTTTTTCTATTATAATTACTAATAATAATAGCATTCAAATGTAAAGGAAACTTACCAATCTTTAATTCAGAAATGGCGGCTATGTTATTCTTGAATATCAGACTTTAAACAGTTTACAACTATCTCCTATTTAACAGCTTTTTTATTTTTTTTTTCTGCAACCATATCACAAAGAAACGAAGAAAAAAAAAGAGCATCCCGCTGGCTCAACGGTAAGCTTAAGATTTTATAATGTTACAGTTGTGAGTTTGATCCCAGCGCCGAGCACAAAACAGATAACATATTATGTATATTTGTGCTAAGACAAATAACTGAAAAAAAAAGTCCGATGACTGAACTGATCCCTAGGTTTGTGGAATGCGATGACTTTTTTGAACAGTATGTGTACAAATCATTCACTTACAGTATGCTACAATAAAATGTAATGGCTGGATACTCCCCACCCGCTTCACACATTCTAACAATAAAATAAATACTTCTTTTTTTCAAGTCCCATTGCCCGTCTTATATGCTGATGCATTATGGGCGATTCTTAACCAGACTTTACCTGGTGGCATCCAACTCCTCTCCAAGTATTCGGCTCTAATTTGACAGTGAAAGAACAGAGGGAAAGCAGTTAGTCAACACCACCCACCACCAACTCTGGAGCTACTCTTTTAAGAACGAAGAGTGGGATTGACCGTTACCTTATAACACCCCAACAACTAAAAAGGCGAGTATGTTCGGCGAAATAAATTCGAACACGCGACCAACAGTTAGTGAGTCGAGCGTCCTAACCACCAGGACATGTCAGACGAATAATTTATACGAAAGTTTTATTTGATTACAGCGTGAAGATAGTCACCGATTTGTTTACAAAAGGATGTTTTAATGTCTTGCACTATCGTCAGTTAATTTTAACAAATATTTCTCCACAATTATTGTAAAGCGATGTATATGTCCTTGGGTTCTTGTTTGGACTTATGGGAACAGTTTCTCTCTCAATATTAAACACAATACATTCTGCAAGTTGTTTTATTGTTATTATAGCCTTGAAATGTTCGGTTAATTAAACAAAAACATTTCGGAAACTTAAGCTAGAAACAGATATTTCTGTGTTGTTCGCTAGATGGCAAGATAATTTCGGTAAAAAAGCAAGGTCACTCCTCAACCATACTAAAATTCTTGTGTTGTTCATTAGGTTTTGGTTTGGTTTGAATTTCGCACAAAGCTACACGAGGGCTATCTGCGCTAGCCGTCCCTAATTTAGCAGTGTAAGACTAGAGGGAAGGCAACTAGTCATTACCACCCACCGCCAACTCTTGGGCTACTCTTTTACCAACGAATAGCGGGATAGACCGTGACATTATAAAGCCCCCATGGCTGAAAGGGCGAGCATGTTTGGTGGGACGAGGATTTGAACCCGCGACTCTCATATTGCGAGTCGAGTGCCCTAACCACCTGGCCATGCCGGGCATGTCCATTAGGTGGCAAGTGTAAATGTTCACAAAATAATTTCGAAGAAAAAAAACAGTGCCACTCCTCAACCATACTAAAATTCCTGTGTTGTTCATTAAGTGGCAAATGTAAATATTCATAATATAATTTCAGAAAAAAAAAAGTAATGTCACTCCTCAACCGCATAAAATTCCTGTGTTGTTCATTAGCTGGCAAGTGTAAATGTTCACAAAATAATTTCGAAGAAAAAAAAAACAGTGCCACTCCTCAACCATACTAAAATTCCTGTGTTGTTCATTAGGATAGCAAATGTAAATATTCACAAGATAATTTCAGGAAAAAAAAAAACAGTGTTACTCCTTAACCATACAGAAATTCCTATGCTGTAAATTAGCAAGCGAAAATGTTCATTAGATGATTTCTCTATACATACAATCAGTTGACCTGAAGTAGGGTGTAATATAAAAACAAAGAAAAGCCTGAATCATCAACAACTGTTTTGAGAGATCTTTAAAAATATACATTTCCAATACCCTCCCTGCTTAAGACAGTCTGAAAATACCTGACGTTTCATAAGCACCAGGGATCTTCCTACTGAAGTTAACTCTAAACAAAATAAACGTTCGCTGTATAAAGTATGCAGAGATCTCAAAATAAGATACCCCATGTTTGTTTATTCAAGGCCTATTATCCTACAAGAGAAGGTTTATATTAGAAATTGTTAGGACAGCTGTATGGTTTTAAAGTTAAGTAAATAGCCTGATTTCGATTTTTACCACATCAGGCCATCCAAAAACCTTGACTAGTTTAGATATATCAGTTTGATTAAAACAGTTTTTATTCCGAGCTTTGAAAAAGTTAGTAAACTGTTTTCAACATTCTATTGATATAATTCAACTATTTTAGTTATTTTCTGGTGTTAAACTCAAAAGAGTTAGTAACTCTTTTTTTTTTAAATGTTCAGTCACATCTTTAACTGGACTAATAATCTGACTGGACCAACTTCACTTCCTACTTAAATTGAGTTATTTATCCAGAAAATACGAATTTGAAAACATTTATTTTCAAATAACATTAACGTTATCATAGTTGTTTTAAACTTGTGTGAACATAAGCCTTGCATGATTGAATAGTCTTTAAGTGATGGAGTTGTATGTATCCTAATCCAAAACAGCTACAAAAACATAGTATGTTATAATCCAAAACAGTATAGATACGTATATCCTACTCAAAAACAAATGAATAAGGAAACGTGTATCCTAATATAAAACAGTTTTAAAAATATCGAGTGTTCTAATTCAGATGGTGCAGATATGTTTATTCTAATCCAAAACAGTAGAGAAAAGGCGTATCCTAATCGAAAACAGTTTTTTCAATTATTTATTTTGTTTTGGAGTTTAAATGTAAAGAAACAGTAAAATTTCTGGACAGAAGTATTATAAAAAACATACATATAAATTCTATTCCTTATAGCATTTTAAGCAATCGTTTATTTCTTTTTCTTCTTAAGTGACGTAAATTTGTCAGCACTGTTAGCTTGAAAATGTATATAATATGAAATTCAAGAGTACAGGAGGCACTTAGATATCAGGTCAGAAGAAAACGTGTCACACGGATAATAGATTTTTTTTTTATAACACCTTGTCATAAATATATAATCACCCACAAATAAAAACACAAACACAGTGACTGCAAAACGTTTAGCCGGAACAGTGACATTAGTACATTTTTTATTTTGTTTTTATATATATACCGAAGCTAGAAAATATTTTTTTTTCGTTTTAAAAGAAGAAGCGATAGTCGCTAAATAATACTGCCTCTAGCTCTAACAATGAAAACACTTCACATCCTACGTAGTAAAACAAAAACGATCTGCAGAGAAACGTGACAACGTTAACAAATAACTTACAGTCTTACGCTATAGCCAACTTTGGTCGGACGTTTCTGAAACGTAATCTTTCGAGGATCTACATACAAATAGCGCCAACGCTAACTATTCTGACAATATCACTAGCCTCGTGTTGGTACGTACACATCACTGAGACCGAGAGTTCACTGCCTCACGTTCCACACTATGATGAAACTCAGTACAGCTCCCAGAGATCTTGGTACTGACAAAGTAGAAACCCCATTACAATAGTCCGAATCACAAGCACAAACTCTTCTCTTCCAGGCAATTTTATTTGTAACCTCACAACTGTTTGCTATGTGGACATCTTCAGGGACACAGTTCCTTCTCCACTGTTCCAGACTCCCTGAATTAAAATAATGTAAAATATAAAATTTACAAACACAGTTATGAAATATTATTACTAATCCAGATGTCTATATATATATATATATATGTCTAACTAACCTTTTCCACAGTTTTGGAGCTAGCAAGACTAAATTTAGCAGGCAAATTCGGGCTGGCTCAGGGGTATCCTTATCTTTATGGCGTAGTCTTCTTGCCAAGGGGGACTAAAACGCGCCCAGAAGGTCATCAAGATATGAGGGGGTCTAACAGTAGGTTTTCAGGGTCGCTGAACCCGAACCTAGCATCGACTTTTATGTTCTTTACCCCCTCGTGATCACAGAGGCGCTCGATTTGCAATATGGGGTTGCGAGTTCTAATCCCCGTCCCACCAAACATGCTCGCCCTTTCAGCCGTAGAGGCGTTGAAACGTGACGGCTAATCCCACTATTTGTTGGTAAAAAAGTAGCCCAAGAGTTGGTGGTGGGTGGTGTTCACTAGCTACTTTCCCTCTACTCTATCACTGCTAAAATAGGGACGGCTAGCACAAACCAAACCTAAAGTGTTTTTGTTGTTGTTGTTTTTTGGGTTCGGAATTGGTTTGATTTATTTGTTTTTTGGATTTGGCGCAATACTAGCTGCCCCTAATTTAGCAGTGGAGGTTTGTTTGTTTTTGTTTGCTTTTGAATTTCGCGCAAAGCTACACGAGGGCTATCTGCGCTAGCGGTCCCTAATTTAGCAGTGTAAGACTAGAGGGAAGGCAGCTAGTCATCACCACCCACCGCCAACTCTTGGGCTACTCTTTTACCAACGAATAATGGGATTGACCGTCACTTTATAACGCCCCACGGCTGAAAGGGCGAGCATATTTGGTGGGACGAGGATTCCAACCCGCGACCCTCAGATTTCGAGTCAAACGCCCTGGCTATGCCGGCTATAGAGTTAGGAATTCTTTTTCGGGTAGCTGTGAAAGTAATTGGGAATAATGGACGAGCTTGAGCACAGTGGGGCCTCTGTGAATCACGAGGGAGCCATTGGACCATGGCAGCAGAGCTCAGGTAATTTACTAGTTAGAATAATTTTTGAATTACATAACAAAAACGCCTTAAATCATAAGATTAAAATAATTTGTATGTTTTTATAGGTATTAAGGTTAAGAAACTTCATTTTAAAGCTAAAACATGTTTTTTAATATTTGAATGGTCCATAAATTTTGTTTCAAAGAATTATATATTACTGAGCCTAATACTGGGTTTTGTTTGTAACCATAAACAATATCTTCAGACGTTTGCACTATTGTTGCAAGGTTTTGACGGTAACTGCTGAAGTTGTCCACATAAAGTAAAGTTCCTGACAGAAATAAAAGTAGAAAATATTAATTCGTGATGTTATTTGCATCATAAGGTTATTTTTTCAAATCATCTATATTAATGAATAACTAAAAATACTTGAATAGTTACATTTCAGGTTCACTGACAACGTTTTAGTAATTGACTTGGTCATCTATATATATATAAAGACGAAATGTGTGTTTATTTGCACCCTAATTCCTCCGAGCCTATTAGGCCAATCTCAACCAAAATTTTCTATGAACTATGGGAAATGTCTTAAGAGGTCAAAATTGATTTTAACCCTATTTATATTTTGTTGGTTAATTGCTTCCACTCTATTGAGTCAATCTCAAACAATCTTTGCAGGTTGACGTTTTGACAATGTAGAATATTCTAAATGGATTCAACCCCCCAGTGGCACAACGGTATGTCTGCGGACTTACAACGCTAGAAACCGGATTTCGATACCCGTGGTGGACAGAAAAAAGCCTTTTGTGTAGCTTTGTGCTTAATAACAAACAACAACAACTAAATGGATTCAAGGTCAAAATATGAAAGTTGTTGGATTGTTTCTCGAACAAGCATGCTTGTTCAAGGGTGGGATCACCTTAAAATCTTTATTTGTTGGTAGATGGAAAGCAAATGTTCTCTATGAAGAAGTTTTGCTATAATTCTTAAATTTTGAGATGAAGCTTATGCTCAAGTTATTATCTTGAAATATATGATCGCTGTTAAACTTACATTGTTTTAATTAACTTTAAACCTTCCCCGACATTTGAAACCCTGTTGACAGATAGGAACCAAGCAAACTCTGAGCTGTTAAAGCAGTGTACAACTATACATAATTATATGCACATTACAGGTGAAAGTTACATTAATAATGACGTTAACATTAAACTGAATACTAATGATAAATCAACATTATGAGTAATACTTAATTTAACTCCATTTGCTGTTCCCATACACGCAAATGAAATTTTATTGCTCTTGATGTATCGGAAAACTTTAAACAACATTCACTGCAACTTACTAAATTAAAACCTCTTCCTGGAGAAAATATGACAGAATTCTTCAAAATTACAACGCAACCAAAAGGATCTTTACTACTGTTAGAAACAAAGAGTCTAATGTCACAGAGTGTCTTTTTTTTCCCGGGAAAATAATTCAGTACTTCTGGAGTTGGTCGATGACACAAATAACTATACTATTGACTCAATGGTGAGTTGTGTTTTACACTTTCTTTATAATTCAGTGATGTCTCCATTTATCAATTGTTATGTATTGTTATGAAAACAAATCATAGCAATTTGTTGCTTTAAACTTTTTGTGAGATATGATATCATTTCGGTTTTTAACGTAACAAGTTTAACTTATTTTTAACAGGTTTGCTTGCTTCAGGAAAACCCACTGTCTTCACTATGTAGTGTCTAAATTTCAAAGAATATGAGTGCTAATCTAAAGGTAAGATATTATCATATGATACTGTAGTTAATGTTTAAATTTTTCAAAACGTCTGTATTTTCCCTTTACTTCAGTTAATCAATGACTGAGAATAAGGTTTAGGTAACTGTAAACAATTTAGTAGCTGATAGTAAGATTTAGTTCATGGTAAATAATTTGGTAGCTGATAAGGTTTAGATCACGGTAAGAAATTGGTGGCTGACAGTAAGGTTTAGGCAACTGTAAATAACTTGGTAGCTGGCAGAAAGGTTTATGTCACGATAAATAACTTGGTAGCTTACAGTAAGATTTAGTTAGGTCACGATAAGTAACTTGGTGACTGACAGCAATGTTTAGGTAACAGTAAATAACTGGGCAACTGAGAGTAAGGTTTAGGTAACGGTAAATAACTTAATATTTTACAATAAGTTTTAGATCACGGTAAGTATCTTGGTAGTTAACAGTAAGTTTTAGGTCACTGTAGATAACCTGGTGGCTGACAGCAATGCTTATATTATGGGAAGTTTAATAACATAGAAGAAAGCATCTTTTTAATACATGTTTTATATGGAGAATCAAGTTTCATTTAATTTTCCCAAGAGAAGTTGATTGTTTGTATTCACCAAATAGATTTTACCGTGTGAAGATATTTATGTATAACAATATACTGTATATCGTTGTTGTGACTGATTGATAATGTAGTAAACCAATTCCTAGTTTAACGAAGTGAATGATTGCAAACAATTTAAAGAAACTTTATTGTATTACGCATTGACAGACTAACACTAAGATAAGCAAATTTTACTGCTGTTCGTTGTGACTAACTGAAAACAAGCCTTAGTTTGTCGCCTGATAACTGATTGACACTAGGATAAACAAACCATACGTGGTGGCTGACTGACATTAGAGTAAGCAAACCGTACTGATATATGTAGTGACTGATTGACACTAGGATAAACAAACCATACTACTATACGTAGTGATTGACTGACACTAGGGAAAGCAAACCATACTGTTATATGTAGTGACTGATTGACACTAGGGTAAACAAACCGTACTGCTATACGTAGTGATTGACTGATACTAGGGTAAGCAAACCGTACTATTATATGTAGTGAATGACTGACACTAGGGTAAACAAATAATGCTGCTATACGTAGTGATTGACTGACACTAGGGTAAGCAAACCATTCTGTTTGTTATATATATACTGAGTGACTGATATAAAGGTAAAAAATTCTTACCATTGGAGTCCCACTGAACAAACACCTCACAACCATGATCACACTCGTGACTGTAAACTTTCTGGGCATGGAAGTTGTCGTCCGTGCAATGATCTGTCTGGTTATTTCTATCGTCTGGACTCCAGCTACAGATGTAACACTGGGTAGTAAGACCTGTAATAATAAATTGTATATGTAGTACTGAGTAACAGATTCCAAATAAGAAACAACAGTCGTGAAATCGGGTAGAAACATCTGGAATACGTCACTACACCTTTAACACTGGGTTGCAAACCCTGGAATAAAAAAACTAAAGTTGCAAATCTGAGTGCCAAGGCCTAGGATAATCAACTACACATTTGACACTGGGTAGCAAGCCCTGGAATATGAAAGAAAAAATGTAACACTGAGCGCCAAGACTTGGAATAGGAAACTACAGATGTTAGTCTAGCTAGAAAGACAGGAATAAAAAACTACAGGTGTAAATTTGGGTAGCAATACATGGAATAATAAACTGAAACTTATGAACAATATTTTCAAAATGTCTCGATATCGATTCTACTGTATATGATTTTACAATATCAAAGTAACGACTGGTATTTTGCAGAATATTTCCTTAAATGAGAATAAAAAGTTTTCAAACAACTTTTCAATATTGCCTGTTTATTGTCAGTCAAATACTCTTATTTCTTTACCAAAATATACAAAAATAATAATTAAACACACGATTATTCCTTGTAGGACGCAACATACATTTCTTGGAAGTATTTCATTAGGATTATATATGTCTTCATTTTAAATTTCTACATTTAGTTCCGTTTATTTAGAATCACTGATGTATTCTGTCCTTTATATTTCACAAAATAATTGCTCCACTAAGTATATCACGAGTTATCTTGTACATTATAACACTTGAGTAGTTACCCTGTGATATAAGCGACAACAGCGCCACGAACGTTAAAAAACAGCACTTCTCCATCCACTTCTTAGATTTTTCGGTATCTGAGAAAAAAAAAGAGAAAGAAAAACAACAGTGCATTAAATGTAACTTCTATAAAAAAAGTATTAATTTTTACATCAGAACGGCTATACAAATGAGTCACATCAAGTTCCCAAACACGAACTTTCTTTTTAATGAAAATTCATATAATATTCTCATATGGAAAATCAAAATCACTGTGAATCATATTAGAGCATTATAATCTTTCAGAATACGAAATAAATATTCTAATGTAGCCTTAAACCTTGATTATATCAAAGCTTTATCAGAGGTCTAAGATAAGTATGAGCAGCTAATTTTACTGGATTCTTTTGATACAGTGTTACTCAGCTGTAATCTCACCGACAAATCAAAATCTACTTTGCATTATAAACCTTAACCTGGTGTTTATAAGAAATAATTTGAAAACTCTAGTGTAATATACATGCGTATATAAATATATATACATAACGTTTCGTAATTCATACACACCTTTACATTTTGTATAAAAACATGCTACAGGACCTGGATGTATAACATTGTTTTTTATGCTACTCAAGAGTTCTTGTAAATCTTTACATCCTCCTCATCACTATACCTATCACTGTCAAAGCTTCAACAAAGAATGTTTAATGTGCAGAGTGCTGTAAATTGAAGTACATTTGTTAAAAAACAACGATTTTCATCATTAGAAAAAGTAATTATTTAATATCAATATTTCGACTGACCCCTTTGTCGTGGTACAATATAATACAAAAACGAAAGGTTTTTGTCTCTCTTTGCAGGGAAATGTTTTGTATTATATGTTACTAATTAATTGTAATCATTGCTAATATTCCGCGATATTCAAATGCCTCAGAAAATTAGTCAGCTTACAACAGAAAAAACAAACAAACAACAAACCGCTTTCTTTGTGATGAAAAGCAACTATTCTGGTTCATACCTATTTTCTTGTGGAAAGTTTCAAAGATACTTTCAAAGATCATTTCAATAAAGAAATGTTTAAGAAAACAAGCAAACTGTATTGCTAAAATATGTTGCATTTTTATTATTCTGTAGTGAATAACTTTTTCCTTTTATCTTGAATACACAATTTACTCGTATCTTAGTAGCGTTTCCACAAACTTGTTTGTTTGTTTGAAGTTAAGCACAAAGTTACATAATGGGTTATCTGTTCTCTGCCCACCACGGGTATCGAAAGCCGGTTTCTAGCGTTGTAAGTCCGCAGATATACCGCTGTGCCACTGGAGGGCTCCAAAAACTTAAGAGTATGATAAACTCGAAACCTGCTGAACCTTTGGTGGTAGGTATTTATACTTGATAACTTAAAGAAAACTCGATAAACGATGAAGTAACGTGATGTGCAGAAATCATTCGATGATCCACAACAAAGGTGTGAAAATGACGGAATAACACGATTGGAAAAGTCACACGTTACGCCACAACAAAGGCTGAAAACACTTATGTAATGTGATGTGGAAAAGTCGAGCGACGATCCACCGAGAATATGTTAAAACGACTAAATAAAGTGATGTGTAGAAATCACTCTACGAGCCACGACAAATGCAGTAATAAACATATACACTCTTCGTAGAGGAAATGGGTTCCCGATGGCTCTTTGGTATTCAGACGGAGCTACTTGGTGAAACAGGCTGTAATTTAGAACCTTCAGCAAAAATATATTTGGGCATACAACCAGTTAAACATTTAAAAATAAGGCGTAAAGGTTCTTTGCTTTTAAAACATTAATGCAACTGGTAGAGAGACCTCTGGTCATACCACATTATACGAAAAGCATGGTTTTCTATGAGCCTAAAGGTTGTGCTTGTTTAAATAGGAAAACTAATTCAAAATTATCTCAAAATACTATACACAAAATCTGTAACAATCTTATAAATTGCATTAGATAAACTTGATAATTCAGTAAGCGTCCTATAAATTATTTTCCCTTAACTAGATGATTCCTTATACATATTTCAGTTCAGTTGACTGTTCTAGAACTAAACCTAACTTTCTTAGTTTTGAGGCTACTTTTCTGTATAGCGGCTTTCCAAAAAAATCATTTCAAAAATTTTTGTTTTCGACAACATCACTGTAATCTATACAAACTGACGTTTCTTGTGTGTTTTGAGCTTAAGCTTAATGGGAAAAGAAATTATCATTACTGGAGTTTATTGTTGTATTTTAGGAACTATTAGGACTGTTTGAAACCTGCTTTATTTTTATTTCTTATTGCATGTTTTTAAATATTTTTATTAGGAAGGTTATTCTGCATTGTTAGCTTAATACGTGGATTTAAGTCTAGCATAAATCTCTTAAGTGGGACGAGCCTTGTGCGATATCATTGAAATTACGGCCAAACATATAGCCACCAGCAAGGGTACTTAAGTTGTAAATCAATGAATATTAATTATTATAAATAAGAATTGCATATTAAATTAGGTGTGAGTGTGACTTACGTGGGTAAGTTGCTTTCATCAGAGGATAATTATAATAATGTGATAAGCACAAATTGCTAGATGCTCCAACACAATAATTACGGGTTGCGTTTGGACAGCTATTCCGATAGGGGAAGACTTTGAAAAAGGTTATAGGACTAGTCAGGTATAAAGCAGTTTATTTTTCATAAAGGTAACGGTTTAATAATAGTAATAATCCTGGAAATAAATACTGTTTCAAATAACCAATAAATTCAAGTGATTTCTGCTTATATGGTAGCAAGTCTCTTATTAACCTTTTGAAACGTTAGTTTTTGTTTGTTTGTTTGATTGGAATTAAGCACAAAGCTACACAATGGGCTACCTGTGCTCTGCCCACCACGGGTATCGAAATCCGGTTTCTGGCGTTGTAAGTCCGCAGACATACCGCTGTGCCATTGGGGGGCAAACGTTAAGGTACTTATTAATCTCCAGTAACATTCAGTTAGTCAATAACCTTCAGAAATGCTGGGTACAAACACAAAAACGTCTGCTATGAAATATCAAACCCACACCGGAGAAGGTGGAAGACACTTTGGGGCAAGAATAAAATAACATTCAAGACTGATGAAAACACGAAATTCTGATCTGGCAGAACATGTCATGTTGACTGGACATAAAATTGATTGGAACAATTGATAAATTCAGAAAAATAAAATAATCTTTCTAGATTATCACAATTAAATCGTCATTAAACAGACATTCAAGCCTGAAGATTAACAATTTATGGCTATCATTGTTCAAATCATCACTCGTTTCACCAATCACGTTACACGAAACACCAGCCAATCACATCACGCTCACGTTAATCTTCCTGGATGTAATATAAAACCCTGCGAAAACGTGTGAAGAGGGACAATTCATATCTAACCACCCAAGGGGAAACCATTAATAACTACCAAGGAACGACGATGACGACGACGAGGTACAAGCTGACCTGAAGATGAAAGACGGAAGTCTTTCGAAACGTTGTACTTTCTATTTGTCCGATGAGTTCTTTGTAGATGAGTTCTTCAATACTTTATCTTCAAGTGTCACTCTGAACTAGGCAATTATTGTCTATTCCAACTTTGTTTGTTGAACGTTAAGAAACATTGAGTTAAGTATTAACCTTCAGAAAACAACAAATTACTCATTAGCATCCAGAACGTCGAAGAAGTGTTTCTAAGCCTATTTACTAATGAAGGCCGAATATGGGGTCTTCCAATAGATATGCGTGTTGCACATACTTCTCACTTAATTATAGTTAGTGTCGTATACTGGTTTGTTATAGCAATTCAAATGAAACCAAAAATATTTAAACTACTTTAACCTATCTCGATAGATTGTAGGCTATTCCATATAGAGTGATTTCCTTATTTCCTTTTGATATCCGAGAACATCGCATATGCAACATTGGTGAAAGTATGCCACTAGTGTATATGAAGAAAAATAGGGTGAGAACATTAAATTGTGTTGCAACCTTGGCTATAGCATGGCTACACCACTGGTGTACATAAGAAAAAATAGGATTAAAATATTATTCTGTGTTGCATCAGTTTACGGAAATATTGTTGTTTAATTGATTTTTCTGTCTGGATTAGAGAAATTTCCAGAAAGCAGCATCTTTCACGGACCGCAAAGAACTACTTTAACCACGGGTTAAAAATCCCTGATTACAGAATTTCAGGATACTCAACTTAGAGTGCCCTTGCGAATATTTGAAACAAATAAACTTATAAGGCACCGATGGCCCTAAAGTGCGGTCGGCGGTTTTTCATTAACCGGACTGGAACCACGAATTCTCCGATTAACAGTCCCGACACGCTAATCAGAAAAAAATCTGCAAATGCTGATATAAAACAAAGTGCCATGCTTTAAAATGTATGTCGGATTTCGAATAAAACATAATTACATCCCAACAAAACTGAAACTTTTTTCTTGGGGGTGGCTTTGAAATACTTATATATATATATATATATGTGTGTGTGTTTGTATTAATACTCCCCCTCAATTAACTTTTAGAAAACGATCATGTTTGTCCTATGAATAATTCTATACGTATATCAGTACGACTCTAAAACAACTTTTAACACAGCCGATCTTTCTCTCTTCTCATACTTCTTACAATCATGTTTATAACCAATTATGACACTCACAAAATGAAAAAAGAAACATTATCTGGGCAAGAAACTATGTACTAGCATTTGGCAGTATAACAAAACTATGTACTTACATCTGACAGCATAACAAAAAATTATGTACAAGCATCGACAGTATAACAAAAACTATGTACTAGCATCTAACAGTATAACAAAAACTATATACTAGCATTTGATAGTATAACAAAAAACTATGTACTAGCATCTAACAGTATAACAAAACTATGTACTAGCATTTGATAGTATAACAAAAAACTATGTACTAGCATCTGACAGTATAACAAAAACTATGTACTAGCATCTAACAGTATAACAAAAACTATATACTAGCATTTGATAGTATAACAAAAAACTATGTACTAGCATCTGACAGTATAACAAAAACTATGTACTAGCATTTGATAG